GGGGCTTCATAAAGTACTGAATTTGCTCTATAAGGAGTTCATGACATACACAATGTGTTTTGCTGATTTCATGATTGAAAAGTAAATTTGGTTGATGCAAACAATTCACAAAAACAAGATCACGACATCCAGGTGGTTTTTTTTCAAAATGTTAAAACCTTGTAGCAATACCCAATAGTATCACCACCAACAATGCAAACTCTTCTATTTACTTTCCGCGCAGCTCTCATGCCGGCTACGCCCAAGTTCAAAGGGAAACAGTTTATACTGTTTTTTAGTGTACACAGGAATGAATAGTTAACCTGAAGCTTCACTATCCTATAATTTTACTATTGATTGCAGCTGGAGATTTATTATTTACATGGGTGGTACTGCAACCCGCATTGATTTCATATCGTGGAATCTATTCCGCACGCCAGTGGGCGTTGACAAAAAGAGGGCCCTCGAACAAACAAACTATTTCTGCCGCTTATGTGTCCTCGTGTTAGCGACACATACATATGATACGCTCGCATTATTCTGTCAACTGAACCGGACAGGCCTGTAGGTGCATTCGGTGAAGCGTTTTTCAAATGTGATGACAGATATTGGGACAAGGGCAGGGAGGGGTTGGTGTCTTGTTTGAACTGTCACAGCATTCGTGTTTATCTTAGTATATGTGTGGATTAATGTTGCAAGTTTGTATTTTGCAAGTTTGTTTGTATTTAGATACGGGGAAATGCGAGAGATAGAGTAGCCTTATCTAGAGGTGCTGTGCACGCTTCCGTGAAGCATGTGTTAATGCGTCAGCTGTAGCGGCCTTGTTGGTGTCATGCTCCCTGCCATTATAGTGCTGTAATATTGCTGAAAACAGCGTAAAACTACATTCACTCACTGGTTCTACAAGTAATACGATTACTGCTACTGTGATTAGTACTGGTGCTGCTACTACTGTCACTACTACTACAGCTGCTGCTGCAACTACTACTACTACAGCTGCTGCTGCAACTACTACTACTACTACTACTACTGCTGCTGCTACTGCTACTACTACTACTACTGTAAATACTACTACTACAGCTGCTGCTGCAACTACTACTACTACTACTGTCACTACTACTACTACCGCTGCTGCCTCAACTACTATTGTCGCTACCACCTCTACTACTACTGCTGCTGCAACTGCTACTACTATTACTTCTACTACTGCTACAGCTGCTGCTGCTATTACTACTCCTACTCCTGCTGCTACTGCAGCTACTACTGTCGCTACCACCTCTACTACTACTACTGCTGTTGTTACTACTATTACTGCTGCTGCTACCACTACTACTACTACTACTACTACTGCTGCTACCACTACTACTACTACTGCTGCTACTACTACTACTAATACTGCTGCTGTTACCACTACTACTACTACTACTACTGCTGCTGCCACTACTACTACTACTGCTGCTACTACTACTAATACTGCTGCTGCTACCACTACTACTACTACTACTGCTGCTGCTGCTGCTACTACTACTACGGCTGCTGCTGCTGCTACTACTACTACTACTACCACTACTGCTGCTGTTGCTACCACTACTACTACTGCTGTTGCTACCACTACTACTACTGCTGCTGCTACTACTACTACTACTGCTGCTACTAATACTACTACTGCTGCTTCAACTACTACTACTATTACTACTAATACTGCTGCTGCTGCTGCTGCAACTACTATTACTGCTGCTGCAACTACTACTACTACTATTACTGCTACTACTTCTACTACTACTACTGCTGCAACTGTTACTACTACTACTGCTGAAACTGCTACTACTATTACTGCTACGACTGCTACAGCTGCTGCTGCTACTACTACTGATGCTACTACTTGATTGATAGGTTGTGATACTCATTACAGAAGACATTGCGTAAAAGCGAACTCCTTAGTTGTGGACATTGCATCATGTCAAAGAGGTGTTACAAGTCAGTCAAATATATATGGGTTTGTGACCTTTGGAAAAGAGATCAATTTGAGTACCGTGCATTGATCAAGTACTTGCGATAACGGGCTTAACATCAAAAGCAATCCATGAAGATATGTATACAACACTGAAAAGTAGGCCTCTGACGTCATTAGCACTAGAGAAGACCGACCTGCGATTGAGGGCGTCATGATTGCTGGTATATTCAGCAGTATATAGAGAATCTCAGTCTCATGTCTTCTGATATCAAATATATCACCACGAGTTGATAAAGTTATAAATGTCCGAGGCTTGCCGAAGATATTTTTACTTTTATCAACCAGTGTTGATACATCTGATATCAGAAGACATGAGGGTGAGATTGTATTTATCATCAAAATCATTCTTCATTAGTTTTCGATGAAAAATGTACATCTCTGAAGACCGTACTACCATCAGACTTGCAGTGCAGCGATGTCATAGCCTTGTGACGTCATTAAGTTCATGACGTCATAGCATTGTCAGGGCATTGTACAAAATCTACTGTCAAAACAGGAGATATCGTTTGATCTCACACAAGCAATATCTCCCACGGAACACAATTTTGGATGATAAATTTCATTATCACAGAAACGACACTGAAGCAAATATCTGGGTTCTGAAGCTTCTGACATCTGACCAACAACATAAAGCACAACGTGTCTCATGACACTTTAGCTCTGTTTGGAGCTAATCCATAAATGTTTATTCAACGATTTTGACAATGAATGGGACCTTGGATCATCACTGTCAGTTTTAGACCAAATAGCAATAAAAAAGTGGAATCATTTGTCATCACAACAACGAAAGAAGGCAAGGATTGTTCCATCAACTGGAAAGGTTATGGACTCGTTGCTATTTGGGCATAACGAAGTTGTCATAATGGCGGCCTGAAAACAGGACGAAAGACCAGACAATAAATGGAGCATACTATGCAGCACTACCGAGGAAATTGCGCTGTAAAATTAAGACTAAAAGACGTGGGAATCAAGACAAAACACCAAAGCACAAACCAGTCATTACCATGGTTACTATCATCGAGTACGCCTTTGAACTACTTCAGCACCCGTCGTATTCTCTTGATTTGGCTCTGTCAAACTTCCATCTGTTACCAAATATGATGAAAGCTCTGAAGTCGGAACCCATTTCGACTAATTTTTTTTACGTCACAGCAGCCGCGGAGAACAAGTTGGACAGCCAAGAGAAGGTCTTTACGAAACTAGGATAAAATCCCTCCAATACCGTTATCAAAGTTGTATCAACAATTAAAGGGGTTGTGTTGAAATGTACATCATGTTGTATGAACGTATCAGAACTTATCAGTAACTCCTTGTATATTCAATGAAGTTCATCTGGCTAGTACGAGTGTAACCCAGTTCAGCTTTGGTGAAGACTTTAAGGAGCCCAGATAAAATGACAGGCCTGGGGATTAACCAATGCTATGACACGCACGCACGCATCGCCTGGGGCACGCACGCACGCACGCACGAACCCTTAAAATCTACACAGCACGACAATGTATAGTATTGAACCCTACGCCATGCCCGATCATGATCCCTTAAAATCTAAAGCACGACAACCATCATGACCAATACCGACTCATTTATTTATGATTATGAACTGGCGGTCAACCGTTATCAGAGGTTAACAAAGGTTATCAAAATGATACAAGGCTGAAAACAGTCACTGCATACTGCAAACATAAGGTCCATTATGACACCCGTGTTAAATACACCACCTTTGAATCGCCATTTTGTGTTTGTTATATTTATAGCCACCGTCAAACATAGTTATATACTTTCTTTTGTCCGTCAGTTTATGTTAACTGTTAAAATACAACAGGAATGATTAATATAAATATATCTTGAACAGAAACTCCAGTGCCGTATCTGCATGTTAAATATCTTTCAAGCATGCACAATTCATAATTTCTGGTCATTATGGATTTGTTATCAAATGTCCTATCATCATCGACTGAGCAATATCGTTGACTCACTTAACATTCAGTTGAGTGGTGGCGTGTGGTCCTGTGCATCGAGCTCAGGTCACAAATCATTTGAAGTTATGCAACTTTGGGCGCGGCGAGTCCCTTGATGGGTGACCGTGTTTGGTAGCTAAGGGATTCTAGGACTTCAGTCCTGTTCCACAACGAAGCGCATGTGATACATGTGGTCTCACCTTAGGCAAGTTAATTTGTTCAAAATTGCCTCTATTCACCCAGCAGAAAATGGGTACCCGGTGGGATAAGTCATATGACTCTATAAACTTCCAGCGCATAACAGGCAGCTTGGGTTATCCGGGGTAATAATGTGTTAGCCTTTTGAACATGCACAAGTGTGTGAAAACTGGCGCTTTATAAATGGCCATTATTATTATTAAGTGAATAATCAGTAACATGAAGCTTAAGATGTTAATTTATGCGTTTATTCCGATAATCATGATTTTGATTCCAGTTAACAAGGTTTGGTTTTTTAAAAAAGAGTTTTTGTACTTTCAAGAAATGTTTTTTTCCACAGGGCCTCCTGAGACCTGTTTACGGAAAAGCGTCCTTCCTTATATGATTTAAATATTGAAACAATCGTCAAGGATAAGATTGCACTTTTATTTGTTGACATGTGTAACCTATCAAGTTGCATATGTATCGCGTGAAGTCAGATGGGTTAAGAGTTGAGACAGTTATTCTCGGAAATTATTTAGTTGCGAATGTAAACATTACATCCTTTGACGGAAGGAAACCCGTGTCGCGCTTCGAGGAACGATCTCGGACGATTACAAAAAGGACTACAAACGTTGTATTAATCAGAAACATTCGTTAGATAGTTTCCTCTCAAGACAATATTTTAAATATATGAAAATATGTCGCTTTTAACTTAGAAATAAGTTAGAACATTGATGTATATGCTGTGCTATAAGCTGTTCATATCAACGAGTCCCACGCAACCACAATGGATTCGCCCGATTCTGATTGGTCGATCGCCCGACTACATAAAGATCTTTCTTCGCTATGAACACTCAGGCGTCAGACGCTCGTCACTGATAGAAGGGGGGCGGGTGTGTTTATATCTCGAATGTATTGTTGAAAACAAAACAACAAAAGGGACTTTTCTCGTTTTCTTTTAATTCCTGCATATTTCTGGTACTTATAAGTGGCGTTATGGCTGAAGAGGAAATAACGGTGAACCGAATGGCTAATCAAAACAGCGTGAACGCTCGACCTGGTCAACTAAAGTTATATATTTGCCCCACGACCGGAGGTTCCGTTCGAGTGATTGTGCCCACAGTTGAGACTGTGCATGGACTGAAAGTGGCCATAGCTCGCAAGATACGGATTCCGCCGGAGAGGATTAATCTACTATTCAAAAACAAGTAAGTTACATGCATGTTTGCAATATCTCCACACTGGCACCATTGTAGTTTTCGGTGTCCATTCTTCGCTTGCACTGTTGACCTCCCTTGCAAACACTGTGGGGACAGCCCTGTGAGTACACCAGTAACCCATGGGCGTGTGTGTGTAAATTTGGGGAAAGTCTCCCCATTCTGTTTGTTCAAACGCGAGAAGTTTGCAAGCGATTTCTCTGCCCGCTTCCTGCGCCCAGCTTGGCATTACTTTACTACGATGCGTTGAACAGTTGTAACAGGGATAGATCAATGACACAGTCACTAGTAGAACTTCATTCATTATATAACGTCGCTGCGTCGAGCTAACAAAGCACCAGTCGAAACGGCGATCCGCTCAAGGAACTACATGCGCTAAGCTTATGGAACAAATACAGAATTACCCCTAAAAATATCAGTTATGTTTGCAGATGGTTCAATGTGGCAATCGGTCCCACTGTTACAAATTAAGCAAAGGGAATAGCAACTCCACCCAGTTTTCGCCTGTGAAGAATATTGGCAATGGGGAAGAAAGCCAAGGCGCATCTGCCGTCCCCACCCCCTCGTGCCAAGATCTCGGCTTCCCCTGGGAAGGGATGGAACTTGAGCAGGCGGTTAATGAACGTTGAGATCATACACAATGACAAAGCGCAGACCTCACGGATACGGGTCATTGCACTCGAAGCTGGATGCGTTGTAGGCGGCTAGTATGGATTCTTTACAGTGGTGTAGTGTCTGACGTATCTCCGAACTCGTTTGTTGTTAATCACGCTAATGATTAATTAAGGATGGTTGGGTGATGTCACAGCACCAGCTGATATTTAGCTGTTGTCAGTGCACGTGTTGCCCACTATATATCGAGTAATTTATGCAAGTGGAACAATAATTGATCGATTTCGCAAATATTGACAAAAATAACAGATTATGCTTAGTTTGACGTCATACCATTAGCTGCAGAATGGAGTTCTCACTTTGTCAGACGTTTTGCAGATTTCTTTCGTTTTGCAGATTTCTTTTTACGCCGCTTTTAGCAATTTCCAGCAATATCAACACCAGAAATGGGCAAACATGACTTTGACTTTTGAACAACCATAGACTTCAATTCGCGGGAAAGGTTTTCATAAGTACAATCGTATTAAATGTAGTAAACTTTTGTTCAAAGTGTATGCACTGGTAACACCTATTACGTAATAGATACTGTTTCCTGGAAATTGTACCATATCTACGTGTGGGGCGGCTTTGACGCCACACCTCCAACTTCATTTGGGTCTGAACGGGTGTGTTGCAGGGTAGGGCTGCGAGATGGTCAACTGCGCAGTATGAAGTTAAACTAGAGCGTTTAGACCCACTTCCCCGTGTGATGACGTCTTTGTGTAGACCGCGACAGTACTCTGTATAGTAATTGACGACAAACGTTGGAGTAGACAGTCTTTGTGAAGTCGCGTACAGGCTTGCGTGGGTACTGGAGCTCGCTGTCATCACTTGTATAAAACGTATTGGCATTTATACAATTACAGCATTATTTATATCGTATATCTTCGCGTCTCGATTTCCTGGGGAATGTTTCAGCTGTAGTTAATCGACCAACCCCGTAGTTCACACGGAACACTTACTGTTAATGACTTAGCAATAATGTCAGCACAAACGCTTGTAGGAAGCACGCACATATACATGTACATATACAGCAATGAAGGGGTACCCGATCGGATGAGATGGCAATGACTGGTACACCTAATAATCAGCGTTATATCCTTCACTCACACTGAAAGAAAATATGGCAAAGTGGGTCCATACAACCATTTGAAAGGTATATTCACTGGCAGAATCGAATTCAGTCTGAATAGAACCACCAAACTAACACGGCTAAAAAGAATACCCATCGAAATACGAATCGGTCTTTTCACAGGACAGGTCCGTAATATACTCATGGAAACGAATAAGGGAACACATTAAACTACAAGTGCTCCTTTATTCTTTTCCAGGGTTCGAATCCCCACATGGGTACAATGTGTGAAGCCCATTTCTGGTGTCCCCTGCCGTGATGTTGCTGGAATATTGCTAAAAGCGGCGTAAAACCAAAACTCAGTCTTTTCCAGGTTTCTTCACAGGGTATGTATTGCACTGTGGGTGAAATTCTGGGAGTAAATAAAGGAACGCTATACACTAGTACTTTCATGTGTTCGGTTATTCGTTTTCATGAGTATATATGTTGCAATATACGTATGCAGTATGATTCAAGGTCCCCTTTAATTCGGTGCGTCATACGATGTTTTTCGTCATTGCTCAGGTGTTCCGTTGTTTGCGACACATCTTGGTGGTGTTTCTTCGTGTAGGTGGGTGATAAGTGCTGTCTTACGGCTGATATCAGCGCGATTTCCACTGTAGTCAATGTACGTTCGAATGTAGGTCAGGTTTGTAGGTCAAATCGTGTCGAAAGCGTTCCGTTATAGGTACGACGTTCATAGCTGTGGCTTGTCGGCGCATTACATATATGGCAGTAGACGTTATCACGTAGACTTGCACAAGTCTCCAGGGTAATAAATAATAGTTTAAATGATAATTTCTAACAAAAATATAAATAACAGACTGGGGTCCTCAGTGCGTACTGTCCGCTTATCTAGACTTGCTTCTTTAAAGGATGAAATTACTATATATATGCACTAGTACAGCCTTGGAGCAAGGCTTATCATTACTTTACGGGTTGGTAGGTCACAACCCGAACCTGTCTTATGGGTAGTAGTATTTAATTGAAGTGCTATGAACTTTGAGAATGCTTCAGTGAGTGAAAAGAAGGGCATGCACCCGTCATCGGCGTGAACAGGCAAAAACCAGTGGAGTAAATGTTTTAATCGATTTAATTTAAAATATATCCTTGGATTTAGAATAAAAATGATTTTCTGTCCCGTGCTCATCTATCGAATATGAGTGAATGAGTGATTGAGTGAGTTGGGTTTAACACTGCCTTTACCAATATTTCAGTTCACTGCGATCTGTTTTATGTGGGAGTAAATCCCGAAGCGATGCAGAACGTTTACCACTTTGGTGAAACCACGAGCACGTGTATGATGCTGACAAACATAGAAACATAATCCGGCAAACCGGGATTCGAACCCACAATCTCAGGTTTCTGGAGTGCCCAAGGGACGCAACTCTGTCCGGCGAACTGCAGCACCTAAACGACCGGACGCTGCATGGCATTGTACCTGAACATACAGTGGAATTATGATTTTCAACGTTTTTATTCCTTCAGTGAAACGCTCGATATAGATATCACTTGCTTGATAATGGTACAAGCACCTGTCGCGAAATATCGCTTTGAAAGAATATTGAAATCCATGTCCGCTTTGTTTCGGTAATACAACAGCTTCCAATGTCACTTAAAGTATTGATCGGATATGTCAGTCACTTTAGATGTGGAGTTCGATCACCAGATTGCCATTATATGAAACCAAAGAAGTACATTGATACTACAGCGAGTGTATTGCAAGTGACGAAACCTCGTATTATAGAATGTACACATTATCATTTGTTGAATGTCTGACTTTTGTCTCGCCCGTATTCAGAGTATGTGTTGTAAAATGCCTAACATGTATATCGTCTAGTGGACTTCGGATAGACACTTACTTAGATTAGTGGTATATATCAGTTATCGTTAGATACGTATGGCACGACTGCGCTGAATGGACGTGGGCGTTAGATTAGTAACTGTGACCGGTTCAGGCATGTACTTGATGTGTATTCTAAGTTAAAGTACGTTTTTATAGTTTATCTGTTTCTAGCGCTACAAAGCGGTCAGCCTTCAAAGCGCCATATTTCGCTGCACGGAGTTATGTCCCTTTATATAAACTACACCTGCGGGTTCGAATTCCAGATTCGCCGCTTATGATTCATGGTTGGACAGTGTCATACCTAAGTGAATTATTGTCACTAAAGTGAAATGAACGTCAAGGAACAGAACCACCCCCGTTTTTTTCTCCCACAAAACTTTACACTCACTCATGCTGTGTAAAATGTTTCATAAACTATTTCCCAGTCAATATTATTCGGTCTCAAATGTGTTATTGGTTTGGATGTCATATTAAACCTCCTTCAAACTTCTCCCCGACTCTTATCATCCACTGCTCATGAACTAAAGTAATGGCATATGAGTTTCATTTTCATTTAGAGGCTGTGGTTCTTGAAGTGCATTCCTCTAAGTAGTTTAGGTCGTAACATTGCTCACGTGTTTTCGTAATAACCTTCGCAACCATTGCTGTAGTACCGTTGTGTGAGAAGGTTCATGTAGCTTAACCATGACGTGCACATAGCATATAGTTAACACCAGGTGAGGCATGGCCGGTAGTGTACCGTTACGGGAGTATATTGCTAATCAATGCATTTGATGTGTCCTGGCAAACTGTAGTAAAGTAATCGTGATCGCCTAGGGGGTATAGATACCTCATACACACCTCCCGCAGCGATCAGGCCCACGTGAAACAGATAGTTAATGCAATCTCAAGAAAGTGTAGCTGGGTCTATATTTGGCCCTGGTATGTTTAGTCAGTGATCACACATCCGAAGCGCTGATTCATTCTACGTTTTTCGTGCACGTTTTCCCGTCAAGTCTTCCGTCCCATTCTTCAGCCTTAATAACGCGACGTGTCACGCTAGGCTCCCATCTTTTGTAATTACAGCGGTGACAAGCTTTGAAGCGGTAACATCGGTCAGTCTTTAATAGTCTTCCCAGAACTAATGAACTTACAGATACATTAGCCAGATGATGGCTTCGCAAGATCACGATGACCCTGGCTCGCCGTTAGGTACGTGGCAACGACGTGAACGGCCGTGTTTGATGAGTTTTTCCGAGACTGGTGGGTCCGCTACCAAGTACCGGACATCTTTACCTTGGTTTAATGTTGTCTTGCCTGTTGTTTAACCGCTCGGGGCATGTTCGAGAAGCTCCGTGCCAAAGTGTTATGTCCTCTCGTAGTGCCTTGGCACCGCACAGGTGT